CACCAACACCCCCCAGGCAGCAGACCCACCAGAAGGGCTGGGGGGAGGCACATGCCACAGCCAGGGCCAGGACCAGGACCGGGACTGCCTGGGCCAGCACCCAGCCTGCAGGGTCCCGGGCAGGGGGAGAGTTTCCAGCCCGTTGGGCACCATCCCAGAGACATCCTGCAAGGGAGCAGCTCGGGGAGCCATGGAGAGCACAGTCCCCACTTCCCTCTGAAGGCAGGGACCAGCCCCCAGACCCAGGGGCTGGCTCAGCGGGGGACAGCGGGCCATGTCCCTGCAGCGGGGGACAGCGGGCCGTGTCCCTGCAGCGGGGGACAGCGGGCCGTGTCCCTGCAGCGGGGGACAGCGGGCCGTGTTCCTGCAGCGGGGGACAGCGGGCCGTGTTGGCCTCACAGCTCGGGGTGCACCTCCCAAGGTCACAAAGAACAAATCCCTGAGCAATGCCTGGAAGTTTCACTTGCTGCTGATTAAGGATAAATCAGTGGATAATAAAAGAGGAGAGAGGGCTGGCTGCCAGGCAAAGAAATTAGGGGGAAAATTTTTTTATCTTATTTTGTGTGCACGATTTCCTGCTAGTTTGAAACAAGCTATTTCACAGCACGGTCCTATTGTGTCATCTGATAAAAACCACTGAAAAACTTTTATCAACAAAATTAGGAAGTAGTGAACTATAAAATTGCTAATTATTTTCTAGTAAATTTACTTTTAAATAACTTTAGACACCAATTACAGGCATCATTAAGCACCATTAACACTGGGTATATTTACCAAACAAGGATAGAATACTTATTATTCAAATCAAGATCATTTTGGTCTAGATTTTGCTGTTTAGAAAGCAGTCTGCTCTTACCAGATGTTTAAAAAGTCATCAGAAGATCAATTACACCTCAAACGTAGTCAGATTCCTAATATTTGAATTGTGGTTTGATGCAGTTCAAGCCCTGAAACAAACACCTGTGTGAGGGACCGTAATCCCGCAGCGCTGCCCGGCAGCACCTGCACGCTGCGCGGGGCCAGGGCCGACGTGCTCCTCTCTCGCCAGCCCCAGAACGCGTGTCCCGCCTGCGGGTGACCCAGCTGTCCCTCACAAGGGCTCCTTCCCCTGCTCCGTGCGGGGCATCGCCGCCCCTTGCACAGCCCTGCCAGTTGGGCCATCGGGCATCGCTCCTCCCAGCTGCCGCGGCCTCTCGCTGCCACCAGGATTTGCAGCCCTGAGAAGCGTTTCCCTGCTCCCTCGGCCCCGGGAGCACGTTCTGCCCGTGCAGGGCTGGGGGCTGCCCCGGTGCTGCACCACGACAGCCCCGTCCCGGCGCCCTCGGAGCTGGGCTGCGCGGCCGCGCGTTCCTCTTAATTGGACGTTGCCAGGCGGCTGTCAGAAAGCTGGCTGCAAAGCTGTTACCTGCTCCCACTCTCCTGCTGTTATCTTTGACATCCTCATTATTTATTAACTGCCCTGTACCCAACAGGCTGCCACCGATGCGGAGATGCTGTTATTATGCAGGTTCGATATTCCGCCTGCCTCCCAAGGTCACATCCTCCAGGATGCCTTGCAAACCAGATTGAAGGGGTACCAGCAAAGATGCAACATGTTCTGTATACACCGATGCCAGGTTTCAAACAGAGCCCTTAGACTAAGGATGACATAGTAGATGGTGATAGAAGACCCTGTTGCCTGCTGCTTTTCCCTGCCCTGTGCGTAGCACACGGAGTTTTCTGCACCTCCACCAGCAATTGTGGGAAACCAGAGCGTCAGGCGAGCGCTCCAGCCTCCTCTGGCTGCAGGGAAGAGCTTCCCTCTGACACCCGAGCCGGGAGGAGAGTGACATGGGCATTAATGTAGCTGGCTGGGTTGCAAACCTGCAGTGACCTCTTATAGCAGTGTCAGCACGAGTAAACTGTTCCCAGCACCCTGCCCTCCACCGCTGCCGCCCTGGTGCGGGGCGGGGGCCAGTGACCCCGCGTGGTGCAGTGCGGTGGCTTTTGCACCCTGTGCCAAGGGGCTGTGACGTCCCAGTTTCTTCAGGCAGAAACATCAAAACAAGTTCAACATGTTCTAACACACAGCCCCCCCACTTTCATGGTGCCATTTGCTCAGGTTTTGATGGTTTTGCTGACCTCAGAAACTATCCCTCTATGAGTCAATTGCTGGAATAAAAATATGATTAGAAAATTCTTGGTGCCTTTTAAGAAGCTCTTCTGACTTTAGGTAAAAGACTTGAAATCAGAAGAAATAATTTGAGGGTCACTTCAGTATTGCTTTATACAGGGATATTTTGGAAATTTTTAGGTGTAACACAAGGTGTAATAGCCCAATAGGTGTCCATATGCACCCCATGCAAGGGCAGAGGCTGCCAGATCGGAAGGTTTCTCCACAGAAGGATTTACCCGCAGATGAACAGGAATTTCTGCTCTAACGTAGTGATGCTCCAGGATGGCCGAGGAGGAAGACATTGGGGATTTGCAGAATAAGGCAGAGCCTGGCCCCATGGCTGCTCCAGGTGGGGTAGGACACGTCTCACCCGTGTCAGAGGACCTGCCAGGCACCCAGCAAAGCAGCTCTGTGGGGGCCAGCACCCTTGGAGGGCCGTGGCCAGGGCTCTGCCCTGTGCCGGGCTGGGAGCCGGGGCAGCGGGGGCTGCGCACCGCTGAGAGCCCCCGGCTGCTGGGGAGGCAGCAGCATTGATCCGCTGTTCACCCCTGGCTGCAGGACGAGCTGTGCAGCCTGGGCACCACTCCTCGCTGGCAGAGGGGGGCTGGTTTGCACTCAGGGTGGGCATCCCCCGTCCCCCAGAGCTGTGCGGGGAAGGACAGGGTCTGCGGGCAGGATGCAGGGCCCTGCCCTCCCAGCCCTCCTGCGCCCGGTCCCGGGGCGCTCCCGGGGGGGCTGTCCCGCTGCCCCCGCGCTGTGCCTGGGCACGGGGCTGGAGGCAGGTGCACCGCGGGCCCGAGGAGATCGGGATGGAGAGGAACCGGGATTGTTTCAACAACACATTTTGTGACTAAAGTCATTATGTGCAGGGAGATGTACGGGTAGCTGCAGGACAGAATTAATATAGTAAGTAATCCTCTCCCTTTAGCAATATCTTTCTGCATGAAATAATGATTTAATGTCTAACTTTTTCTAGCATACACATTTCCTCATAACAAACACTTATATGAGATGCAGCTATTTATGTTTCAAGGCAAGAAGTGGAGTGTAATGGACTCTACTCTGACTGTCTGTCCGTGAAGAAATTCCACCGTGTCATGGGAAATGAGGAAAAACATTTTATTTGGAGACAATTTCTTTCTATTTAAGTCATTCTTATCTTCCCCCCTTGTTCTGTGTCAGAAGGGGTATCTGCATGACTCTGCGTTGCCTCTCCTGGGGGTGAGGTGTCGGTGCTCCCCGGGACCCCCTGCCCAGCTGGGACCCCCCGCCTCCGAGCACTTCTCACCCCTGGCTGGGCTCCCCGACGGCTCCGAGGCAGCGGTGGGTGGCATGTGGTAGCAGCTCCACGAGCTTCTGCGCTGGGGCAGCGTGCCCGTTTGGACCTCGGAGCTCTCAAGCAGGGCAATGAATGCTGTAACATGAAGTAGCGGGCGGGCACGGCAATCTGTGTTTGAGCAGAGGGGCCGGGCCCCGGGCATGGAGCCAGCCCACAGCTGGCCCTGGTGAGGCACCGAGGGGCAGGGTGCTGCTTTCCAAGGCTGCCGTGCCCAACCCAGGCAGCCTTGCCTGCTCAGGAGCCCCACTTAGGAGGCTCTCAGCTCTGCTGCTCCCTTTCCTGCCATGAAGCAAATACCCAGAGCAGCGGAGGACAGAGGTATGTCCCGTCCAGAGACTTGTCTCCGGGGTGCTGCTCGCCGCACCCGCTAAGGCAGAGCCCACAAACAGCAGCAGAGGAAACAGCTTTTCCCTGGTAGCGAGACTCCACTTAAAAGCACTGATCCAGGTAACACAAGAGAAGTCTGTGTAATGAAGGCAAACAACACATCTGGCAATTTTCCACCCAACTGACAGAGATAAAGTTATAAATACACCCCATTAATGGTGCAAACATCCTTCAAAGCTTGTCTTGAGAGTGTGGGGCCAGTGGGCAGCGAGCGGGCCAGTGCCTGAGCCGCAGGTAGAGCAGAGCCGCCAGCTTGGAGTCCCCGGTGAGCAGAGGAGGAAGGAGGAGGGAGACGCTTCCCAGGAGGCGACAAGGGCTCACGGAGCTGCGGGCACACCAGGCAGTGCTGCCAGGGCCAAGCCACACTGCCCCGGCTACCGCGGGCACCACCGGCCTGGCACTGGCAGGTCAGCCGGTGCCCCAGTGTCCTCCCTCCCTGGGGACAGACAGACACCCTTCCCCTCCCCGGGGACCCTGCGCAGAACCCAGCCTTGCCTAGCAGCTGGACTCAGCTGGGGTTCAGCCCTAGTTTAAGGAGGGAAAGCTAATGGATGATTTTTGCCTTTATTGTAGAAAGCTACCTGCTTGAGCTTAATGAAAGGAGTGAGGAATACACAGGTCAGGGAGGGTGGCCGCACTCCCCTCTTGAAGGATTTCATCTGAGCAGAATAAGTGGCTGAGAGCAAGTCCTATGACAAATCCAGCTTTTTTC